ATTTACTCCAAGTATTTAATAGAAAGCCACTTGAGTGTTTAATATTTAGGATTATTTAATAATATTTTGTATTTAATAATATAGGAATAAAAACATTCTCAAGATGCAAGAAAATGACAAGCTCATCTGTGTAGGGGATGTGGCTACTCCTCTCCGTCCTGCAGGTACCGCCGGTCATACACTTGGGTGCCATGGATGTAAGCTGGAACAGTGTGGAGATGGGTGCTGGTTGGAAGACCACCCGGATGTCATGGCGGTGCAGCAGAGCCAGTCCAACGCCGTCTGGGCCAGGAAGAGTCCACGTCACTAGCGTGGAATGCATTGGTGGAAGTGACATCACCGGAAGAGGCGGAGGGCCAGGTGTGGAACACAGACGACACAAAGAACACAGGCTACACGTTTGGAGCCTCCAGCTCCTTCTACAGTCCTCTCAAATTGTATGATTTACTGTATGTTTGTTGCATGATTTGATGTAATTTGGGGAGTATGGATATAAGGGTTCATTAGCTACTCAGAAAATGAAAAACATCCACCATTAAAGTGAACAACTCGGCTGCATCCCAACTCTTCAACCTAACCTCATCTTTTGCCTTAACACAATGAACACAGTCCTCCACTCACTCTGATGGGAATACATTAGACCTTGTTTTCTCCCATCTTTGAACTCTCAACAACTTCACAAACACCCCCTTTCCTCTCTCTGATCACAATATCATCACCTTCACAGTGTCCTCTCCTTCAAACACCTATCCCTCCAAGCAGCAAACAATTACCCACAGAAACCTTCACAACTTTAACCCTTCTCTTCTTCACTCTACAACTGACTGCCTCTATGACAGAAATCTCCCCTGTCCTGCCCTGATATGGTCACTGCTGTCAACAACAGTTCATTTTCATCCACACTAGACTCACTTGCGCCAATAACTACACAAAGTATCAGGCCCTGACCATTACAACCATGGCAGACTGACGACACCAGAAATCTTAAGCGACAAATCTCACCAAGCAGTCACCCTATATATCTCTGCTTTGTTAACATACAATTCCTCCCTCCATGCTGCCAAACAAGCCTGCTTTGTCACTCTTAATAATATCTTGTCATCCAGTCCTCGTCATCTCTTCTCTACTTTTAACTCTCTACTTTCTCCACCTCCACCCAGTAACTCACTGCTTACGAGATTGCACATCATTTCAAAAACAAGATTTATGCAATTTGTAGGGGCATCTCCACTACACAGACATCTATCCCACTTAGCATACCTTATACTAAACCTCCCTCAACACTTTTGACCTTGCTACTACTGAAGAGATCACTAAAGTTTTCTCAGAAACCTGTCTCACCACCTGCCCCCTGGATCCTGTCCCCTCACAAGTACTACGGTCACCCTCATCTTCTGTCCTATGCTCCCTCACTCACATCAACAATCTCTCCCTCTCCAATGGTGCCTTCCCCACCCCTCTAAAGCATGCACAGATCACTCCCATACTTAAAAAGCCCTCACTGGACCCCACCAACCTGAACAACTTAAGACCCATCTCATTGCTCCTGTTTACCTCTAAACTCTTAGAACGCTTAGTCTACAATCACCTGAGTTCCTACCTCACTGACAACAACCTTCTTGACCCTTTACATTCTGGCTTTTGCTCACTACACTCCACTGAAACTACCCTACTAAAACTCACTAATGATTTACTAACTGCTAAAACTAATTTCCACTACGCCATACTCTTACTACTTGACCTCTCTGTGGCTTTTGACACTGTTGACCATCCCCTCCTCAAAAAAACTCCACTCTCTTGGCCTCCTAGACTCTGTTCTCTCCTGGTTCTCCTCCTACATATTGCAGTGTTCCTTTAGCGTAACCTAAAACTCTGTCTCCTCCTCTCCACTTCCTCTTTCTGTAGGGGTCACTCAAGGTTCTGTCCTTGCACCCCTTCTTTTGTCCATCTACACCTCCTCCCTTGGTCACTTGATAAACTGGATTTAAGTACCATCGCTATGCTGATGACACACAAATTTATTTTTCTACTCCTCCCCTCACCCTTTCAGTCTCCTCTCGCATTACTAACCTACTAAGTGACATATCGGCATGGATGTCACTCACTCCACTTCCTCAAACTCAATCTTTCCAAAATGGAGCTCATAATATTCCCCAGCTCATGCCCCCTCCCCTGACTTCTCCATCAAGATCAATAATACAACCATCAGTCCCTCCCCTCATTCTGGGGTACTAGGTGTAATCTGTCACAAGTTAGCCTGCAGTTTCTTGTTTGTATATTCTTACCTTATTGGTGAAGTGCTGTTCCTGATCCCTTTCACATGTGTGTTTGTCTGTGCTCACCTATGGGCATCGTCTGCTGTTCTCTGGGTTTTATTTCCTTCCCTTCCATCACTTCCTGGCCCGCCTCCTTGTTTGCCTGCCTATATAAGACATGCTCAGTCTAGGCCACTTTGCCTGAGCAACTTTGTAGTTGTCAGAGCTCCTGTGTGTTGCTAACTCCTGTGTCCTGCATTGACTAATCATGTACCGACCCCGGCTTCATTCTCTTGACTGTGCTTGTTTTCTGCCTGTCCTGACCTCAGCTAGTCTATCAGAATTCCATTTGCCTCCTCCCATTGTACTCTGCTCCCACAAATGGTCTCCTCATCCTCAGCTGGGCGTACCCGGGGGCCGCGATCTGGTCCCAGCTTGCTGCAAGTCCATCCTCACCATCAGGGGCTCTGGTGAAGAAGCAAGCTGGGGCTTAGACTCCATACCCTGGGGAACCCCAAGTTGGCGGTCTACAAGGGCTCACTACCACAGGTTTGTGACAGTTTGTTCAGGCCATGAGCTCCTTGGAGCCTCTCCTAGAACAACTTTATAGGAGAAGCCAGCAGCGAGTGACATTTTAGCCGCCTGGAGCCACGAGGAGGCCCGGCGGCCATCTTACACTTTATTCATTACTCACTGTTTCAGTGTTTCTGCCCTGTTTTTAAGCATCATATTTTTGTAATAAACGTTTTTGATCTTACCTACTACACTATGAGGTGTTTTTTGGCTCCTATCTTGAGCTAACATATTTTAGGAATCCTATTACTCATCTTGACCACCGGAGGGAGTTCCTCACTTATTATTCATCCAGTCTAAAGGGGTTTTCTGGATCTGGAAGCTGTCCATTACACCAGGATCATCTGTTCCAGGAGGGATTTCCAGGGGTCATACTACATATGCGCTTTTTTATAGCGCGTCCGGTGAGTGCGCAATTCTATTGTTGGATCCTGGTTTTTCTAAATTTCTATGCAAGATCCTGCGTTTATTTGCTTGGACATTATCATTTATCTGATGCATTGTGTTTTTTATCTCTGCTTAAATATCATACTGTGTTTTAGATTATCTGGGACATATATCCATTAGCGCCGCACTTCCTATATTTTTGTGTATTTTGAAGGTTTTGCTGTGATTACCTTGGGTGCATTGGCTGCTGTTGTGAGAGCGCTCACTTTTATATATTTTTTCTTTTTTAGAACAACTTTAGTGTTTGGCACAGAGAGTCGATGTCTAGCAGACTTATCAGGAACATATTATGCAATGTCTGCAGGAACTTTCCTCCCGGTTGGATCAGCTGCAGGTTGTGTCCACTTCCTCACCCTCTGCTTCGGCTCCTGCTCCAGTTCCTGCTGCTCCAACCCCCACTGTTCCTCCAGTGGAACACAGTCCTTTGAAACTCCAGCTGCCTCCACCACCTCGCTTCTCTGGTGATACCAAAGCTTGTCAGGGCTTCATCAATTAGTGCTCAATTCACTTTGAGCTGGGAGCCCACCATTTTTCTACTGACCGTTCCCAGTTGGCATACATGATTTCCCTGCTCTCTGGTGAAGCACTGGCTTGGGCCTCGCCACTGTGAGAGTGTCAAGATCCAACTGTTTTCAGCCTCTCAGCCTTCCTGCAAGCTTTCCGTAAAACCTTCTATGTGCCCGGCAGGACATCTGCCGCAGGAGCTCTTCTTCGGCTTCATCAAGGTAGCATGACTGTTGGACAATATGCAGTTCAGTTTCATACCTTAGCTTCGGAACTGGCATGGAATAATGAGGCCCTTTCTGCAACCTTTTGGCAGGGTCTAGCTGGAAGAACCATACCCACCACCCTGGATGATTTGATTGCTCTTAGCATCCAAATTGATATCCGCTTCCAGGAGCAAGCTCTGGAAAAGGCTCATCCACGTCACCCCCAATGGGTCCATACCGACATCTGAAGAGCCTATGCAGTTAGGCCGAACAAGCCTCACTCCACAAGAGCGATCGCGTTGCCTAAGATTTGGCCTATGCCTTTACTGTAGGGCTGAAGGTCGTATAACTAAGTCTTGTTCTGTCCATCCCGGAAACTCTCGGGTCTAGGTCACTCTGAGGGAAGTAATCTAGACCAGAACCTGAATTCTGCCACCTTCCCTCGATTTATCATACCTGTCTCCATTCATTGGGCCCTGAACTTGTACCAGGTGTCTGCTTATGTGGACTCTGGGTCAGCCGGGAACTTCATTGAGCAATCTTTGGCCACTGAATTGGGCATTCCTCTTGTCCCCTTGATGACACCCCAATCAGTATCTACAGTTGATGACTCTATCTTGGCCTTAGGACCTCTACGCTTCCGAACCACCTTCATAACTATGCATGTTGGCGCTCTTCATCGTTAGGAAATCTCCATCCTGATCCTCCCTAAGTCTTCAAGTGCCACCATTCTTGGACTTCCATGGTTGCAGAAACACTCACCCTATCTTGACTGGAACTCTGGCCAAGTATTGTCTTGGGGGTCAAAATGCAATCGGACATGTCTCCCTAAGGTGCTCCCACCTCGCACTGTACTCATGGCTGAGGCCACCACCTCTTTGATGCTCCCTCAACATTGCCAGGCCTTCCAAGATGTTTTTTGTAGTAAAGCTGCTCCCCTGCCTACTCCTATTGAAGGCCCCTTTCCGGTACTATCCACCTCTAGTTCTTTGCTGTGCAAACCATCGGTCCCTTTACATACTGTGCAGCTCAGAGCTTCTATTTCACTACTTTCTGGATGGGTGGAGGCCCCAACATCTGTGACCTCTGTACCATCTGAGTTCCCAGCTTCATGTGCCCTGTTTGCTGAGACCCCAATACCGTTACTCCCTTCAGCTGCTTTAGACTCAGCTGTGGTCTCCACATTAGTAGCTACAGTGACTTCTGTACCCTGCCCTGCCCCCATACGCCCTACTGTGTCCTCTGTCCCCTGTACTGCCTCCACACACCCTAAAGTGCCCTCTGTCCCCTGTAATACCCCAGGTTCCTGTTCTGCACAGCCTGTCTTGCCCACTGTACAAATAAAAGCCTTGAAGCCTACTCCTGTGTCCTCCCTGGCTGCCTCCTCACCAGACCCTTCATCCTGGCTATTGGTATCTGCTCCAGCCCAGCTTCCTGATTTATGTTCTCCCATTCTAACTCCTTCTGAGGCAAATGTTTCCAAGAACATACATCTGTCAGCTTCCAAGTACAACGTAGCTGCAGATTGTCATCGCCGAGTGAGTCCCAAATTTTTCCCTGGTGACAAGGTTTGGCTCTCTACCAAGAATATCCGTGTACGAGTACCCTCTATGAAATTTGCTCCTCGGTTCATTGGTCCCTTTGCTATCCTCCGCCAGGTCAATCCTGTTGCTTTTAAACTTCACCTCCCTTCACATTTGAGAATTCCTAATGTTTTCCATGTTTCTCTTCTGAGATTGTACATCAACAGGTTTTTCCCGTCCTCATCGTCACCCTTCCCCAATAGTGAATACTTCAGATCAGTATGTAGTCAAGCAAATCTTGGATTCTAAATTCATCAGAGGGAAGCTCTTGTATCTAATTTACTGGAGGGGATATGGTCCTGAGGAGAGGTGTTGGATTCCTTCTACTGATGTTTTTGCACCCTGTCTGGTAGAATTTTTTCACCAGAAGTTTCCCCTTAAACCTGGCCCTAAAAAAGTGGGGAGACCTCGTAAGAGGGGGGGTACTGTCACAAGTTAGCCTGCAGTTTCTGGTTTGTGTATTCTTACCTCCTTGCTGCAGTGCTGTTCCTGATCCTTTTCACATGTATGTTTGTCTGTGCACAGCTATGGGCGTGGTCTGCTGTTCTCTGGGTTTTATTTCCTTCCCTTCCATCACTTCCTGGCCCGCCTCCTTGTTTGCCTGCCTATATAAGACATGCTCAGTTTAGGTCACTTTGCCTGAGCAACTTCGTAGTTTGTCAGAGCTCCTGTGTGTTGCTACCTCCTGTATTCTGCATTGACTACTCATGTACCGACCCCGGCTTCGTTATCTGACTGTGCTTGTTTTCTGCCTGTCCTGACCTCGGCTAGTCTAACGGATTTCCGTTTGTCTCCTCCCATTGTACTCTGCTCCCGTGAGCGGTCTCCTCATCCTCAGCTGGACGTACCCGGGGGCTGCGACCTGGTCCCAGCTTGCTGCAAGTCCATCCCCACCATCAGGGGCTCTGGTGAAGAAGCAGGCTGGGGCTTAGACTCCATGCCCTGGGGACCCCGAGTTGGTGGTCTACAAGGGCTCACTACCACAGGTTTGTGACATAATCCAAGACTCTCATCTGTCCTTTCAGCCCAAAATCAAATCACTGTCCAAATCATGTAGACTTCTTGGCAACTTCTCCAAAATATGCCCGTTCTTAACCTCTGAAACTACTAATCAACTTATTCACACCCTTGTTATCTCTCGCCTTGACTATCCCCTCTTCAGTCTATCATGAATGCTTCTGCCAGACTCATCCACCTTACTAACCATTCCATATGTGCCATCCCTAACATTTAAAACCATTTATAACTCTGCCCCCAATTACATCACCAATCTTGTCTCCAAACATCACCCAAACTGTCCTCTCTGCTCCTCCCGCAACCTCCTGCTCTCTAGCTCCCTTGTCTCCTCCTCCCATGCTCGTCTCCAGGACTTCTCCAGAGGGTCCTCCATCCTCTGGAACGCTCTACCCCAATATATCCGACTATCACCTACTCTGCCCACTTTTAGGCGATCTCTGAAAACCTATCTCTTCAGGAAGCCTAACCCACCTTCAGCAGGGGCGGACTGACAACTCATGGGACCCCCGGGCAATAGGGGATCATGGGGCTCTTGTGTCCTTGCCCATACTAAAAAAAAGCCTATAAAAGGTACCAGGGGCCCCCTACTGACCCCGGGCCCTCAGGCAGTGCCCGAGTGCTTGAATGGTCAGTCCGCCCCTGACCTTCAGCTAATAACGGAATCTTCTATTCCTCATATCAGTTGATCCCCCCACAGTTATTACATTTTGTACTACCAGCCCCTCCCTCTTAGATTGTAAGCTCCAAGGAGCAGGGACCTCCTAACCCTCCTGTATTGAACTGTATTGTCTCCCTTTATATTGTAAAGCGCTGAGCAAACTGTTGGCGCTATATAAATCCTGTATAATAATAAATAGTAATAATTTGACAGGTACCCACTCCCCACTTCCGCTGCAATCTCCTAAAGTTATTGGAAGTGGAAGTTGTCCTCTCCCTCCCTCCCTCCCTGTAGTCTTCTGGGAGACATGACAGGTCCCAGAAGACTACGGGGCCAATCACAAAGCGCAGTGCTTCTCGCGCATGTGCAGTGGGCACCCGGCTGTGAAGCCGCAAGTTGTCACAGCCGGGTGCCCTCACTCCTCACGCCTGGGAGAGAAGACGGCCGGTGAAATCAGAGGACACCACTGGACCGAGGGACACATACGTGTCTATATTTTAAAAGGCAGCAGCTACAGTTTTTGTAGCTGCTGACTTTTTTTTTTTCAACTGGAACTCCGCTTAGTATTGTTTAAATGGATCTGTGTGTGTCATGGATATTTTTTTTTTTAAATACGTAAATACATTTTTTTTTGTTGTTAAAAAGATAATATATTTAAATATATATATATATATTACAATAAAATATATTCACTATAAATCATAACACTGGTCTGCTGTTGTCAGTAATATCTTGGTGATTTGAAAAATAAAAGTCTTAAAATATTTTACTGCAAATACATTTTTTTGAGTAAATGTATTCATGTACGAGGTTACTCTGAGGAGAGACAAGTGAATTGTTCAGCTTTTATAAAGGCTTCATCTGTTCCTGACAGAGCACACTTCATGTCCCTATCACTCAATGCTGTTACTGAGACTCATCCAAGGCCTTCGGTCTCCGGAGATGTCTCACCTTGCAGTGTGCAGTGTGTCACTTCTGATACTGAGCTGTAAAGCCTTCATACTCCTAATGATGATTTTACTGCAGGCGCTCCCAGCATCCAGCAGCATGTGAGGACAGATCACGTCCTGACACTGCCTGTATGTTAAGGAGCCCGAGGATGGATGGCTACTACAAGGAAGGAGATTTCATAGTTGGCGGGATCATACCAGTGAAGAAAACGTTCGTAGTTCCCAACTTCACATTTACCAAAAAACCAACACCTCACCTTTGCATCCTGTAAGTTGCTTATGTTTGAATTGAATCTCACCATTTACTTTCAATTGTTGCATTTACACGTGTATGTGATAGGGATGCCACCTCATCTCTTTAAAGCCAAACACATATTAATTACACAGGTTCTGAGGCTAATTTAATGCAGATAAGGCACTGTGAGTTTAATTACTACCTTAACCGGTTCCGCGCCCCTCTATAGCAAAATACTGCTAAAAGGCAGCATGGGTGCCCAAAATCACTTATATATATGTGATTTTGCATTTCCGGGTAAGAGCCCTACCTGCACCTGCACCGCCTTTTGCAGCCTCGGCTGTCAATCACCAGGTCTCGGACGGTGATCACTCGCCGGCACCCAGGGATTGCCTAGTATCTCCGACGGGGGAGAGATCTGTGTATAAACAACACAGATCTCTCCCCTGTCAGCTCCTGCACACTGCTTTGCATGGCTCTGCATAGCAAATACTTGGAAATACACAAGCAGATTTGGTATTGTTTGATTTAAGATTAAAAAATATATATTTCGGGGAAAAAAAAAAAATGTCTTTTACATTTTTTATGTGATCAAAATCCATAAAATCACTTTTTCATAGTTTTCACTATTGTTTTCTTCTCTAATTTCTAACAATAAATAAATAAAATAAAGTATTTAATTTAAAGAAGGGGTTTAGCAACCTTTCAGAGGCTGAGATATACCTGGACAATATGGAGGGGTGGACAGTGGGGGTTACTAGGGTCCTCTCTTCTCCCCCATAGCAGTGTCCTCTGCACCATCCCCCCACAGTGGTGTTCTGTACCCCCCAATGCAGTGTCCCCTGGCCTCATTCACATCACCCCCCCACTGTAGTGTCCTCTGCCCTTCTCCTCCTACAGTAGCATCCTGTACCGCCCAATGCTGTGTCCTCTGCCCCTTGACATCACCCCCCCACTGTAGTGTCCTCGGCCCATCTCGCCCTACAGTAGTATCCTGTACCCCCCTAATGCTGTGTCCTCTGCCCCTTCACATCACCCCCCCTGCAGTGTTCTCTGCCCCTCATATCAGTGTCCTCTCCCCCTTCCCCACACAGTAGTGTCCTATACCGTCCCTATTGCAAGGTCCTCTGGCCCCTTCAGATCCCCCCCCCCCCACTGTAGTGTCCTCTGTCTCCTTGTTTCCTCAGTAGTGTTCTCTGCCCGCCTTCACATCCTCTACCCCCACCATAGCCATGTCCTCTCCCTCCCAAAAAGTGTCCTCTGCCCCTCTTCTCTCTGAAAGCAGTGTCCTCTGCCTCCCTATCCCTATAGCAGTGTCCTCTATCCATTTCTCATCACAATCACCCCCCCGTGTAGTCACTTCTGTGCCCTCTCCAACAGTGTATCCTCTGTCCCCTTCACATCACCCACTCCCCCCATACAAACAGCGCTATGTAGGTAGCTCATCCTACCTGCCAGTGTGTGTACAGCAGAGCAGAGATCAGGAGACGGCATAGTGCTGGACAGGAGGTGGAAGTAGAGCTGCCGGATTTAGGTGTCCGTTTATGGACCAGCGGTAATAGATCGCTGCTCAGTTCTCCGGCATTCTCGGAGAACACAGTTCTCCTGTGAATGCAGTTTATGAAGCAGTTCTCCAAACGAAAGGAGAACTGTCTTCAAACGCTGGAGAACGGTCTACAAACTCTGGAAAACGGCTCATTTTACTATAATCTCTCGAGATTATAGTAAAAGATCAGTTTACTAAACAGAGGTAAATTATCTCTGCTTAGTTTTCGGTCCCTCTGATTCTCCAGCTCTGGGCTGGAGAATCTGGAGGGAGAACACAGATCTCCAGAGAAGGGCTGACATGATCTCCTGAGTGTCATAAACTGTGAATGACCAGAGAATAGCTGAGATCTGTAGAATCGCAGCTATTCTCTGTGTCATAAACGGACACCTTAACATTTCATAATAACAAGCTGATGATTGATTTATAGGACCACCTAGCAACCAATCACTGGGAACATGAGAGAGGCGGAGTCTGGGGGGAGGTAACCATAGTCATGTTCCACCTGTTGGCTCCCCGGCAACTAGTCAATCACGGCCGACAGCTTGGCGACTCCTGATTTAAAGTATGGTATCAAAAGAAAGTACCATGTTCCCCAAAAACAACGTCAAGATTGGCCAAGATGACCAAAAAACAAAGCAGCAACTGTAAGACAATCAGTCATATGTCAAAAACCTGAAAAAAGCCCTGGGAGTCAAGAATGTTGACATAGGGGGTAAAAGTGCTGGGACTCAAGAAGGTTGACATAGGTTAAAGGTGCTGGGACAAGAAGGTTGACATAGGTTAAAGGTTGGGACACAGGTTGACATAGGTTAAAGGTGCCGGAACTCAAGAAGGTTGACATAAGGTAAAGGTGCTGGGACTCCTCAAGGAGGGTGACATAGGTTAACCTCCCTGGCGGTATGATTATTTCAGATTTTTGGTGCTGAAAGCGGGTACCATTTTTTTGCATGGAAATATGTATTTTTTTAATTGTAGGCCTGTAATTTTTAGGAAAAACTCACTGAAATCTGTCCGAACAAGAGTCTAGTAAACATCCCGGGTATGATAAAATTTGAAACACAAAATCATAAATTATAATTTAATAAATAATCCTAAAAATAATATAAATATAATAAAAAATTTAATTCAATAATATAATCAAACCAAAAACACTGAAATTTGAAATATAGCGCCAAGTTCGCACATTGCTGAGCTCAGTCGCAAAATCGTTTTCAGTGTCTGATGACGAATTTCCCCCACGAATCATTATCACTCAATTCTGCAAGTAGTTCTGATTTACTATCGCTGTTCTCTAGCTGATCTAAACCGCTTTTGACCTAAAGGGACACTTTTTGGATGCCATGGACATTTCTCAGTTTCCAGGCAGAAAGAACAGACAAAATGCAGGCAGGGCGCCGGACAAAGCACTAGGGACAAAATGTATGTGAAATTGGTTGAGACAGCAATGTTTTACTATGTAAAATGTAAAAAAAAAAAAAATGACATTTTCTAAAATGTTTAAGTTTCCCCGCCGCCGGAGGCGGCGGCGCCCGTACGTCCCGACATCACAGGGACAGGACACAGAAGCCAGATGCCGGCATCGGCCGGAGGAGATGGCCGGGGACGCTGCAGGGGACACATCGCGGGGAGCGCAGGGTAAGGTAGGTGAAGAACAAATGCCGGAGCAGTGCCGCATGGTATTCCCGAGTGTAGCTCGGGGTTACCGCTTTTGGTACTGAAATGTTACCCCGAGGAGGTTAAAGGTTCTGGGACTCAAGAAGGTTGACATAGGGTAAAGGTGCCGATACTCAAGAAGGTTGACATAGCTTAAAGGTGCTGGGACTCAAGAAGGTTGACATAGCTTAAAGGTGTGCCGGAACTCAAGAAGGTTGACATAGCTTAAAGGTGCTGGGACTCAAGAAGGTTGACATAGGTTAAAGGTGCCGGAACTCAAGAAGGTTGACATAGCTTAAAGGTGCTGGGACTCAAGAAGGTTGACATAGGTTAAAGGTGCTGGGACTCAAGAAGGTTGACAAAAGGGTAAAGGTGCTGGGACTCAAGAAGGTTGACATAGGTTAAAGGTTCCGGGACTCAAGAAGGTTGACATAGGGTAAAGGTGCTGGGACTCAAGAAGGCTGATATAGGTTAAAGGTGCTGGGACTCAAGAAGGCTGACATTGGGTAAAGGTGCTGGGACTCAAGAAGGTTGACATAGGGTAAAGGTGCTAGACCAAAAACAATAATAAGATGAAAAAAAAAAACAAATTTTTTTGACCAGTGTTCATTAAAAAAGGTGGAATTTACAGTAAGTAAATACAAAATCCTATTATTCTATATCAGCGGTCGGCAAGTCGCGGCTCACGAGCCACATGCGGCTCTTTACAAACTTAAACTCAAACTCCTGTGTGCCGGGCGCCCGCTCCCCTCCCTCCTCTCAGGCGGGCAGGCGGGCGGCCGGCCGCCCCCCTCCTCTCCTCCTCCTCTCCCCCTCTCCCCTCCCCTCCCCTCTCGGGCGTCAGGACTCTGCAGCTGTCAGGATGTAGGCGGGGCAGCCAGGATGTAGGCGGGGCAGCGTGACGAACTCTTCTCCTCTCACAGTCCTCCCTGAAGACCAGAACGGCATGGGAATACGAGAGGAACGCGCGGAGCAAAGGTAAGTGAATTGACACAGGGGGGACTTACTATATGGGGAATGAATTACTATATGGAGGACTTACTATATGGGGAATGAATTACTATATGGGGGACTTACTATATGGGGAATGAATTACTATATGGAGGATGAATTACTATATGGAGGACTTACTATATGGGGAATGAATTACTATATGGAGGACTTACTATATGGGGAATGAATTACTATATGGGGGACTTACTATATGGGGAATGAATTACTATATGGGGGACTTACTATATGGGGGATGAATTACTATATGGAGGACTTACTATATGGGGAATGAATTACTATATGGGGACTTACTATATGGGGAATGAATTACTATATGGGGGATGAATTACTATATGGGGGACTTACTATATGGGGAATGAATTACTATATGGAGGACTTACTATATGGGGAATGAATTACTATATGGAGGACTTACTATATGGGGGACTTACTATATGGGGGATGAATTACTATATGGGGGACTTACTATATGGGGAATGAATTACTATATGGGGAACTTACTATATGGGGAATGAATTACTATATGGAGGACTTACTATATGGGGAATGAATTACTATATGGGGGACTTACTATATGGGGGACTTACTATATGGGGGACTTACTATATGGGGAATGAATTACTATATGGGGGACTTACTATATGGGGGATGAATTACTATATGGGGGACTTACTATATGGGGAATGAATTACTATATGGGGAATGAATTACTATATGGGGGACTTACTATATGGGGGATGAATTACTATATGGGGGACTTACTATATGGGGAATGAATTACTATATGGGGGACTTACTATATGGGGGATGAATTACTATATGGGGGACTTACTATATGGGGGAATGAATTACTATATGGGGGACTTACTATATGGGGGACTTACTATATGGGGAATGAATTACTATATGGGGGATGAATTACTATATGGGGAATGAATTACTATGGGGGACTTACTATATGGGGGATTAATTACTATATGGGGGATGAATTACTATATGGGGGATGAATTACTATATGGGGGATGAATTACTATGGGGGGGATGAATTACTATATGGGTGATGAATTACTATATGGGGGATGAATTACTATATGGGGGATGAATTACTATGGGGGATGAATTACTATATGGGGGATGAATTACTATGGGGGATGAATTACTATGGGGGATGAATTACTATGGGGGGATGAATTACTATATGGGAGATGTATTTTCAGTTTTAAAAATGTGGCTCTCAAAATAAATTTCAATCGTGGTTTTGGCGAGATTTGGCTCAGTTGAAAAAAAAGGTTGCCCACCACTGTTCTATATGATCTGTCCCATTTAAAATGACCCTAAAATTGTATCTCTGGAATTTTTATGTGACATTGAAAAAATAAAGGAATTAAAATGTTAAAAAAAAATTATTTAAAAAATAACTAGTAAATACTGCACAAAAATAGTAACTAAGGGAAGGAAGGGGTTAATTTGGGATAATTAGGATTAATGAAGGGTTATTAGTAACCTAAACAATAATATATTTTATTGAAAAAGTGTGTGGTTTTTTTTGTTGTTTTTTTGCTTGTAAGGTTACTTTATCCCCATGCCTACCGGGCACTTTCACCCCCTTCCTGCCCAGGCCAATTTTCAGCTTTCAGCACTGTCGCACTTTGAATGACTATTGGGCGGTCATGCAACACTGTACCCATATGAAATGTTTAGCATTTTTTGGAGACAGATAGAGCTTTCTTTTGGTGGTATTTAATCACCACTGAGTTTTTTATTTCTAGATAAACAAACCAGAAACAACTAAAAATTTTGAAAAAAAAATGTTTTTTTCTTAGTTTCTGTTATAAATTCTTGTAAATTAGTAATTTTTCTAATTCACTGATGTGCGCTAATGAGGCTGCAGTTATGGGCAGTGATAGGCTGCACTGATGAGGAGGCACTTGTAGGTGGCACTGATGGCTATTGACAGACATCACTGATGGGCACTGAAAGGCAGTACTCATATATGGCACTGATAGGCAGCACTGACTGGCACTGATAGGTGGCACTGGTTGGCACTGATAGGCGGCACTGACTGGCACTGTTAGGTGGCACTGACTGGAGCTGTTAGGTGGCACTGACAGGCACTGATAGGCAGCACTGATGGGCACTGATAGGCAACACTGACTGGAACTGATAGGTGGCACTGACTGGCACTGATTGGCAGCACTCGTAGGTTGCACTGACAGGCATTGATAGGTGGCACTGAAAGGCAGCTCATATGGGCACTGATATGTGACATTGATGTGCACTGGTAGGCACTGATATGTGGCATTGATGTGCACTGGTAGGCACTGATATGTGGCATTGATGGGCACTGACAGGTGGCATTGATGGGCAATGACAGGTGGCATTGATGGACACTGACAGATGGCACTGATGGGGCTACACTGATCATCAGGGCACTGATTGCTTTTACACCCATAAAGGCTGTAAAAGCAATAATTTCTCCTTTTCTCTGGCTGCATTCTTGCAGCCATTGAGAAATACTGTGAGAGCTGTGATTGGTCACAGCTTGTCACATGGTACAAGGGTGTTGTGAATAGCCTTGTACCATGTGACCTCTGTGATCATTCACAGATTTCACAGGTAGTAAGCAATGATGTTAGAAGTGACATCTTGCTTACTACTAATCATGTGATCACTGATTGGCCAATCAGGATCACATGATTGGGACCTCACACAGAGGTCCCGTACAGCGATCGGTGTTCATAAACGGAGCCCGCCATTTTGGATTGTGCGCAATCCCTGGGAGCGTGCGGCGCCGCGATCCGGTGCCCGCTGTGTCCAGAGGACACAGCGGGCACCGGATCGTGGTGCCATGCACTCCCAAGGAGTGCGCACAATCCAAAATGGCAGGCGCCGTTTATGATCACCAACCCACTCCTGCACTGCCCCCTTCCGGCTGTTTATACACATGGGCCGGACAGGAACTGGTTAAAAAAAAAACACTGGTGATTACATACCACTAAAAAAAACTGGATGTACTTTTGTCTTTTTCAGCCAGACTAACTATGTAACTATGTAACATTTTTACTACCCCCTACTATTCAGTTTTCCTATTTTCATGTTTTAGTCCGTCTGTTGTCTTATATCGTCATCTACTGGTCTTCCAATTTGCCATTGAAGAGATTAATAATATTAATAACCTTTTGCCTAACATCACCCTTGGATATCAAATATTGGATTCATGTGGAAATCCTCACAACTCAGTTGCCAGCATCCTGACAATTCTATCAGGAAATTGGGAAATGATCCCAAATTTTGGCTTTCGGGAGAATACCCAAGTGGTGGGATTCATAGGAGACCTGTCAGCACATGCATCCTATTCTATAGCCCAGATAGCTGGAATGTATGGGTATTCTCAGGTTTGTATTTTGTCCGCGTGTTTTTACAATATATGGGTCCGCAGAGGCATCCCTAGGCTTGGTGTCACCCGGAGCGGTAACACTTGGTGACACCCCCTCCAACGATCCCCACAGAATGCATTTTACAATATATGGGGTCGCAGAGGCATCCCAAGGCTTGGTGTCACCCGGTGCGATAACACTTGGTGACACCCCCTCCAACGATCCCCGCAGGATGGATTGGATCTGTGGATTGAGCATAATGGTTTGGAATCCGACCCATTATGCTCAACCAGCAGATCTGATCCATCCTGTGGGGATCGTCGGCTTGCTTTACAACTTACCTTTTTGTGGAGCGGGTCCGGTGTCACCCTGTGTGGTAGGATGCACCCCCCACACCTGCCTAGGGACGTCACTGTGGGGATGAGTTACAATTGAATGTCATTGAAAACCTTTTCTCTTGCTTTGAACAGACTAGAAAAACATTATAATGGTGTCTATTTATCAGCGTCCCCCCAGTAATTGCACTGCGAGTGGGCAGCAGCTTCAGGTCGGGAAAAAGTACCTGTACGTCGCGGCCTTTCTTCTGGGTTCGGGGCGCGCATGGGCACACCCCCCCGCTGACTCGTGCTGTAATTGGACACAGCACAAATTTGGCAGCTGATTTCAGCCAATGAAGTCAGCTGATCGGCTGTGGCCTATCACACAAAGAGTCCTGTGTTTACAAAAACACAGAATTCTGTGTATTGGGAACATCAATTTGCCTGTTTCTTCTCCCTGCAAACCAGACAGTAAAGTAAAAGCAGCACCTATTACACATTGTTAGCCCCTTGATTGCCCGTTGATGTTAACCCCTTCCCAGCCAGTGTCATTAATATAATGACAGTGTACAGCATTAGCACTGATCGCTGTATTCGTATCACTATTGATGTCAGCAGGGGCGGACTGACAACTCATGGGGCCCCCAGGCAATAGGGGATCATGGGGCCCTGTGTCCATGCCCAAACTCAAAAAAGCCTATGAAAAAGGTACCAGGGGCATCTCATAGGGCCCCCTACTGACCCTGGGCCCTCGGGCAGTGCCCGAGTTTCCAAATGGTCAGTCTGCCCCTGGATGTCAGTACCTCCCAGCCAGAGTCAGTTAGCACCAGATTGTCCACCACTCTATCGCAGTCCCACCATATGTCACTGATCACCACCATTACCAGTATAGTGTCATACCGTAGCTGCGTAAATACAAGTATATTTACAAAAGTTTTTAGACTATATAGCTTTTGCACAAACCAATTAATATACACTTATTGGGATTATTTTACCAAAGACGAATGCATGTTCGTCTAAATTTATGAAGAAATGCAATTTTTTTTTTTATTGGATATGGTTTGTAACAGAAAGTAGAAAATATCATTTTTTTTTCAAAATTTCCAGCCAATTTTTATATCACTAAAAAATCCAGTGGTTATCAAATACGAGTCTCTGATAATTCATCTGCATGCCAATTGCATTTTTTTACTCTCACAGTTTGCCTTCTGTGTCTCCCTCACTGGTGGCCCTAGTGAGGCAGGGAGCCCTCATGCTCTATACCAATCTTTTTCACCCAATTCCAGAGTAAGCAATATGTGAAATATGTCAGGTGAGGTCCTTCCCACCAATTGGATAGTAGCATAAACATAGACAATTTTAGATTTGTGGGCTCCTAATCTTGTATTTATGGTGATTATTGTAAACTGACTTTTGTTTTGGCCTCTTATAGGGTGTGATTGTTATTGCTGATTGGTAGTGACTAGTGGATTTAGATGAACTTGACTAACAGATCCGCCAGGTGGCACCTCTGGCAGCCCACTAGGCGGAATCACCCGGAGCGTGGGGTCTAAGTCCCGGTCTGCGTTTTCACCAGGGCCCCTGATGGTGGGGATGGACTTGGAGCAGAACCGGGACCAGGTCACGACCTCCGAGCAATACCACCCGTGGCAGAGGGAGCCTCCGTGGATAGAAGTAGGACAGAGTAGAGTCAGATGTGAGGAGGCCGGCAGGACCTGGCAGGATAAACCGGCGGTTGTCACCGTGGGAAATGGCGTGGTACCGAGACAGTAGGCAGAGAGTGGTCAGGTCGCACGCTGGGTCAGTTACCGGGGTCAGTCCGCAGAATGGTCAAACAAGCCGGGGGTCGGGACAGGAGAAGGCAGCGTAGTCAGGGACAATCCGGGTCAATCACAGGGGAAGGCAGCGTAGTCAGATAATCCGGGTCAGGGCAGGAGCAGGCAGAACGTCAAACAATCCGGGTCACAATCACAGGAAACACAGGTATCAGATCAGACCTTGCGGCGATTTATGACAGTGCAGGGCATCTTTAAATATCGCGCCCTGCACTGCCATTGGCCGCCCAGGACGCGCCCCCGGGCTGTCATTGGTCGCCCGAGGCGCCCGCGGCTCCTACTGCGCATGCGCGGCCTCCTGTCAGCCGCGGCCCGCCGGGATCTGGTGCCTGTGTCCCGGCGTGAGCCGCCGCTATTGCGCATGCGCCGGGGACGGAGCCGCGGCGGACCCTGACATTGCCCCCCCCCTACGGGCACCCTCCGGGAGCCCCACTGATTTCTCCACCGCGGGTGGCCACGAAAGAACTCCCGGATGAGCCTGGGAGCGTGAACATTCTGGATGGGTTCCCAAGAGTTTTCCTCAGGACCATAACCCTTCCATTTTATCAAAAACTGCGTCTGGCCTCCCCTCCTACGGCAACCGAGAATCGTTTCTACCTCGTACTCTTCTTGTTCACCTATGGTGACTGCCTCAGGAGGCCTGGATTCCCGATCCGGGAAAGGGTCCGATGCGGCCGGTTTCAGAAGAGACACATGAAACACCGGGTGAATCCTGAAAGACTCCGGCAGTTCGAGTTCGTAAGCTACCTCGTTGATGACTCGCTTGACTTGGAACGGGCCAACAAATTTCGGACCCAATTTCCTTGATGGACACTGCATCTTCAAGTTGGCAGTGGCCAGCCAAACCCGGTCTCCAGGTTGAAGCGCCAGTTCCCCCCTTCTCCTCCTGTCAAATGCCTTCTTGCTGTCCTCCTGGGCTTTCGTGATGGCCTCCTGAACTGTTTTGTTATTGGTCGAAAGGAAATTTAGGATGTCTTGAGATGCTGGTACTGAGCTCTCTGGCATGAGATCGGGAAGAAATGTTGGATGGTAACCGTAATTGGTGAAGAACGGGGATTGCCCCGTAGCGGAGTGGTTCGAGTTGTTGTAGGCAAACTCCGCTGACGGTAACAGCGTCAACCAGTCGTCCTGTAGGTAGGACGTGTAGCATCGGAGGTATTGCTCTAATACTTGGTTGGTCCTCTCTGTTTGCCCATTGGTCTGGGGATGGTAAGCGGACGAGAGTGACAACTTGATTCCCAATGCTTCGCACAAGGCCTTCCAGAACCTTGAAGTGAACTGGGCTCCCCGATCTGATACTATATCCTCGGGAACTCCATGTAGTCTAACTATTTCCTTGATAAATATTCGTGCAGTTTCCGGCGCGGATGGTGTCTTTTCCAGGGGTACGAAATGGGCCATCTTAGAGAAGCGATCGACAATCACAAATATGGCAGTGTGGCCTTGAGACGGTGGGAGTTCGACAATAAAGTCCATGGCTATCATTTGCCAGGCCCTCTTTGGAATTGGCAACGGGCGCAACAATCCCCAGGCCTTGCTTCTGGAGGGTTTATTCCTCTGGCAGGTAGGACAAGTCTGAACGTAGCGCTCGCAGTCCTTGACCATGTTCGGCCACCAGAATGAGCGCTGCAGAAGTTCCAGGGTCTTCGTAACTCCGAAATGGCCCGCCATTGGATGGTCGTGGCAGTGGCCCAGGACCATGGTTCGGACTCCTTCGGGTACTACGATCCGACCCTCCTTCCACAATAACCCTTCACGGTTCAGGAGAGGTGTCCCAGGCGGCGCTGGTAGTCCCACGGAAGCGTCAAGAAGTTTGGAGCGGAGTTCCGTCTGTAGGACGAGG